TGTGACAGTATCATCTCATTATTTTCTGGACAACTTTACAAGCTGGTGATCTATAAAAAATCCAACTGTTATATAAAGACCACCTGTCTATAAAGATCATTTAAATAATAAAGTCTCGTGGGTGGATTTTGAGCTACATTTGGCGATGTGAGGGCAATAAATGCAAAAATCCACGACAGGTTAAGCAAAAGCCAACTGTAAACAATATTTAACACAACTAAAAAAATAATAAGACTTTGAATTCATTTTTCCCTATACATACAATACTGTAATTTTCTTTTCTGGATAATTCTCACATCTCAAATCGGAATACTATCTCATCTGTTAATATAAATATATGCAAAAAATACCAATTTGAGAAAATTAAAGACAATAAAATGGAGTTAGCTAACTTCATCATTCTGTTAATTTACACACACATCAAGGCTTAATGCAGTCACACTCTAATCACATCAGCTTCTGCCGAGTGCACACACAAGTCATGCACAAGAAATTGTGATGAATGTGAATGTGTGAGAGTAGTTTTGTTATTGCAACACTGTATGTACATGTATTATGTATGCTGTATATATATATTCACATGTATAGATAGATATTACCATATTTGTTCTATTAGAATCACAGCTCCAAATTGCACATAAACCAAAAATTGTATTCATTTTACGATGAATCTTTACAATACGACTTATTTTGATCATAGAATAAAACACCTATCATTCACCCCATGTGCTGCTAATAGAGAAAATATGTATATCTATACATTGTATATGGGACTTTTTGGCCTGAAATAAAGGATTAATAAATAAAATAACAAGCAGCCTATCGGCTGAGATAGCTCCGCTGTTAGCAATGCACATTTCAATTAAAGAACTGAAGACATCATTAGAAAATGAACAATATGAATAGTATCAAAGCAATCGGACTTACAGTTTTTAACAAGAAGTCGAAAATATCACATTTTACCAAAAATGACAAAAATATTCACCAAAATTAGAGAACTGAAGATATCATCACAAAATGAACAAATCTGAGAAAGGTCCACATGTAGTACCTATATATGTAATATCAAAGCAATCGGACTTGCGGTTTTTAACAAGAAGTCGAAAATATCACTTTTTACCAAAAATGACAAAAATATTCACCAAAATTAGAGAATTGAAGATATCAACATGAAATGAACAAACCTAAGAGAGGTCTACCCAAGGTACATATACACCAAGTATCAAAGCATTCAGGCTTGTAGTTTTCAAGAAGAAGTCGAAAAAGTAAAACATTGACACGGACGACGACGGACAATCACTCATATGATAAGCTCCGCTCGACAAAGTCGACAGCGGAGCTAAAAATATAATGTTATACAAGCACAAGCTACTTCCATAAAATTGCAATATGGGTATGTGCCGCCCGACTGGGGTGTCATTTCACGTTATTTTGTTTAGAAGTGGGTAGCCATTTATTTACTTTTTCACAGATCCTTATATTCAAAGCCAAATACTGGAAAAGGCTGAATAAAATGCATCGCCCGGATGCGCTCACTGGTTGCGAAAGTTGTGAGCTGGGTGTTTTTTTTTCCCTGAAAACACATGTGTTTAGAAGTGGGTATATAAATAGAAAAAAAATGGTTTAGAAGTGAGTATGGTTTTCGAGAGATGGGCTTCACACCCTTACCCACTTAATGTGGAAGTAGCCCCCCCCGGGCCTACATGAAAAGCACACACAAAGTGCCATCCATGAATGCTTTATTTTCAGATATTGCTTGAACTTGAACAATGAAGACACCATAAGATATTATGAATATTGCACAAGTACAAAAGCAACATGTAAACAAGCAGTTTAATATGCATCTGGAATTTTGGTATACTAGTACATGTATAAGATGCACTTTCACTAAAAAAAGGGGTACCAGTTGTTGCCGTTTTAAATATGACAGAACAGCTTTTCTATTTATCAATTAAGAATAATTTATAGACAATTTCAAATACATTTCTAGCTTTCTAGACATTTCTACATGTGACAATATAATACATATACACTTAGAAATAAACAAATGCAGATAAAAGTATACTCCAAAGATTTTCTATAACTCAAGGATCTGGAGTATATAATAAATAAAAAACAAAATACAAGAACACAAATTACAAATACACGAGTTATTACAATGTGGTCATGGATTAGAAAAACATTGACAACTTTTAACATAAAATATCATCCGTCATACCAGTTATTGCGACCACTACAAATGTTGAGTAATAAACAGCCAACATAAACTCCCCTACCTCAAAAAAGTCTCCTTTGACAATAGTGTTTGTTAAGCAATTAGTGTTCAGACATAATTCTTTCAAAGATAGTCGTGCGTAATCAATCACTATCATTATTAATTACAAAGTGTCATAATTTTTTTGGTAATATACAAATATAAAAAAAATACCATTAGAGTTGGTAGGCTTACAAAGTTGAAAAAAAAATGTGTTTTTGCATTGTATCTTCACATACATACATAATTCCAAAATCCATAAATTTATATGTATTGCATTCTTGTGACACTAAGGTGTTCTATGACTCAAAGAAAGCTGACAAAAAACAACATTTATTATCCGAGTAATTAAAAATATATTATGCATGTATAAAAGCATGTGATAAAAATGATTGTGACCACAGGAAAATGTTAACGACAACAACAGCGACAGCTGCATCCTGATTCTATATTCTCAACATGGTGAAGAAAATAAGTACTAAACATAAATTATGTAATCTCATCTGATTGATGTGTTCTCTATACTTTTATAAAAAAAAATTCTAGTTCTAGTTTTCATTAATAAAAATTGTAAAAATTTGACCATTTTTATCTGAAAATTTAATTTCTTGGCTTTCATAATTTCAAGATGACCATTTGAATCCTGTCAAATAAAACATACTGCTGTTATTGTATTGATTAAAAAAAATAGTTCACCACTAAACTATATAAACCTGTGTAAAGATACTTTGCAATAATGCTTCTAAGTGAGTAAAACTATGTGGTGGTGCAGCAGAATTTGACTACATTAATATTATATAAGCTGACAGAGAATTTTACTACTGGTACTGGTACTAGCAATAGTTACAAATTATACTACAAAAGTATTAAATGAGGAGGGGAATGTATCATGCTATATGGTTTATAATTTAGCTATAGCATACAATAACTACCGGTAGCAATAAATTGTAAATTGTTGTTGGAACTAAATTTAACCTGTCTGATGCCTTAAATTTGTATTTTAAGCAAAGCTTAGATGAAAGGCTTTCCAATTTTAAGATTTAAAAGTCTTAAAATTATTTAAAGTAATCTGACCAGAAATTGAAACTGAAAGTTATGGCATTTGAAGGTTATACTAATCGAAAACAGAGCGTATGATACCATTCATTGATTAGTTATTCATTTATAACAATTAAACCCATCATTCATTGCTCTTCAAATTTTGCTTTGGGGTCCCCCTAACACTAAGTAAAACCAAAAATAGTAATAAATAAACAAAATTAACAAAAAATATAAAAAATTCAAAAAAAAAAGAAGAAAATTTTTAATCAGATTGAGGAAGTACATATTGTTCAATGTTTAAAGTTCGCTCAGAAACTGTGGTAACATGAGTGAAATAGTCGTCCTATAAATTTGAAAGGAAGGAACCCAATATTGACTATAAAGAAATCAACTCAAATGTGTGGTGTGCATTTCATTTTCAGACTAGTCATTGTCATTGAATATTGGTTTTGAAATATATACTTCTGAATCATTAAGCAGAGAACCTAGTGTTTGATTTGGTGACTCGATGAGGATTCTGACAAGTCAATCACAGGTGAATCCAATGCAATGCAGATGTATTGTACCATTTATTACTGAAACATCAAAAGTTTTAAACAAAATGTTGTTGATAGTAGAACTTCAAAGTGTTGTTCATTTTGTTCATCCTAAATCTTGTAAATTTATTAAGCACCAGAAACATTTTAAAACAGTATGTAATGAATGCCTCTTTTAATTATTTCTAAGGTTTTTTAATTGTGACAAATAGTAAGTAGGTAAAAATAAAACAGATTTGTGACATAGTTTGTTTTAGTACTTATCAAAAGCACATTACAGTTGATTTCTTAAATCATTAGTTTCATTTGCACACCTTGTGATCTATTTCACATTATTTCATTATTGTTCCATAATTATAAGAAAGGTTATTTAATCTACAGGTGCGAATTAGTTAAGATAACAGAGAGACAAAGATTACATTTATCAACCCAGAAATAAATTATGCGACCCACTCTCACCTTCTTGACAATCCCCGACACAAAATACAGGTGGATACTTACTAGACACTACTTCATTACATTGTAAAGCAAGGACGGCATTTAGCTGCAGATTGTGAGCATTAAAACGTGAATACAGAAAGTGCAAATATGGCGTGTACAAATCATTTCTAATTTTTAAATTACAGAAATGTATAATGCATTTGTACAAAGTCAGTAACCTGACAATTGGAATGAATAGTGAAAATTGGCCACTTCCATTCTGGTAATCCAAAATGGAATCACCAAGTTATTGAACATGTTCAGTACTATAGCAACCAATCCAAAATGACTTCATCAAATCATAGAGCATGTTCAGTACTATAGCAACCAATCCAAAATAACTCCACCAAGTCATAGAACATTTTCAGTACTATAGTAACCAATCCAAAATGGCTCCACCAAGTCATAGAACATTTTCAGTACTATAGCAACCAATCCAAAATGGCTCCACCAAGTCATTGAACATGTTCAGTACTATAGCAATCAATCCAAAATGGCTTCACTTAGTTATTGAACATGTTCAGTACTATAGCAACCAATCCAAAATGGCATCACTTAGTTATTGAGCATGTTCAGTACTATAGCAACCAATCCAAAATGGCTTCATTGGCTCATGGAGCCTGATTTGTACAATTGCTGCAAGCAAATTTTCCTACTTAAAAACTAATGCAGCATATTTGCCATTGTGTCATTATTTAAAATTAATGCTGAAATTATAATTAATTCACAGCAATTTGAATACCTGATTGCATTACTTAAACACTATTAAAGTTTGTTACATTACGTGGTTATTGTAGAAATTATAAACAAAACTACAAATACGGTAAAGCATGCTATTACAATGCAAGCTGCATGCTAAAGATACGTTTCTTTTTGTACTACACCTTGTCCTGTTCTAGTTGGTGGTTTGTGCTTCTGGATGTTTTTCTCATCTTCTGGTCGTATCAATACGCGATTCTAGCAAACAAATTGGAAAATAACAATATGATGAAAAACATAAGTTGATTGGTATACACTCAATGCATTGATATCATGATTGTAAGTTATACAATATAAAATATTTAAATTTTACATCCTTGGCACAACATTTTCAAGTTTTTATGTATTTTGTGGTCATTAATTTTAAACCTGATGGACATATGTATTTTCAAAAAAAACATTGACCAACTTTCAGATTCAGATGAAAAATGACCTTTAAGGTAGTATTTGTAAATCCTTGGGGCGGACATCCGGGCATTTTCTACCGCCTGGCAACCCTCGCGGTGAAAACAAAGGCCAAAAACTCGCAGAAAACGGTACTTTGGGATGATTGTTGAGACTTCTCTGAACAGTGTAACAAGATTAGCCCTACGTGTGTAACATATATAAATTTGATTGTTCGGGATTACTTCAAAGTTGAGTTGGTGTTGTTTTTTCGAATTTTCACCGGCTCGACCGGCGTTCCACAGCAGCGCGCACAGAGCCCATAGAAATGCATGGTACAGTGGTGCGCGTCTTCGCAACGTGGAACGTCTGTGACGTAGCTCCGCCCCCGAGAATAGGTATTATCTGGCTACACTGATATATTTGAATTGATACCAGTAGTTGGTATTCATAGTCTTAATAGAAATCGAAATAAATAATTTTGCAAGATTGCAAATTACAGTATAGTATATTTTTACCAAGAGTTAATTATAATAAGGAAAAAGAATGTGACATAAAATGCACTTTTCGTTGATAAGATTATCAATATCATAAACACAAAATAAGAAGCACTGTAATACCCAATCATGAACCAAAAATCAATATAATATAATGGGATTTCAAGGAAGGAGAATGGAATTACAACAATGTACATGGGAAAAAGTACATAATACAAAAGGCAATGTGTACAGTAGTATGGATTAATTAATGCGCTACTTTAGAGAAAATCATCAATCTTGAAGCATTCACAACAATTAATATACAACAGAAATATATTTTGACTTCAGCAAGGTTAAGACCAAGCGCTGCATACAAGTTGTTTGCAAAAAAGTGAGCATATTCTGTCCTACTGGTAGCAAACCCACTATAAAATAAAGCATAACCTACGGTTGGATGGAGCCAGTTGTTTATATCCACTGCTTCTTCATCTCTTTTCTTATCCTAGCAAAAAGAAAAAAACAAAGAATACAGTCATGTGCCAGAGAAAAATAATACAGTGACCCCCTCACTAAGTCACAGGTGTCAGGAACCAAGCAAAAACTGTGACTTATCGAGGGTCGTGACTTACCGAGGGATCTCATGAAAGGGGTGGGGTGTTTATGCATTGAAAATGGATAAAAAGCACATACTGGTTTACAAACATGGGTTTATTTATAGTATGTTTTTATTATTAGACAACATAACAGCGTCTGCATGTCTGCATTGATTCAAATCCTTGCAGCGAGTTTTATGGAGCTTTATCAAAGGGGAATGACCGAGAAGTACGTAAAGTCACGACTTCATACCCCTATTGACACCTCGAGTCAGTAAAATTTTTGGAGCCATCCAACTACCCGCGACTTGGCTGAAACCGTGACTTACTGTGGCGTGAGAGAGAGATTACTGTATTTACTCAGAGATAATAAACTGAAAATATTGACTCAAAATAATGTGAACATTTGCTACATTTGCTATGGCTTGAGCCAGCAAAAATGGCTTTGTATACGTCTAGAGCCAAGTTCTTGGGTTGAACTCCGATAGGGTTGAGCCCCGACATGCCCCAATCGTGTATATGCATCAGGGCCCAACTATCGGAGCCGGAATCTCGCCCTTAATATAGTATACTTACAACATAGTGGACCAGACAACTGCATGGAACCCAGATCAGTAGAGATAATATTATAATTGTACCAACAATGTTATCTTCCATAAACTTCACTGTTAGAGAGGAAGGGATGGATACATTAATATCACTATTAGTAAAAAAAATCATATTAGCTTTATAAATTAATGGTTGACATGCATATGTCAAAGTACGTTGTTTCCCCTTGAAACCGGCCTTGAATAAAATTGGTCAAACCATGTCTGACGGATGCATGGATGACATGGAACAAAAGTCCCCATGTCCTAAACATTGTTTAAACATTGGCTGGTATTACTCAGTAAAAGGTCAATTTCACATATACAATTGAACTGGTTCGTTCCAGCCAACTTAAACACAAGAAATTTTAGGCTTGAAACTCACCAATTTTATTGATATTGATATCTTCTATTATTGACCATAATCGCTTCACCACATCTTGAGTAGATTTTTCACAATAACCCTGAATGTTGATTGAAGTATACATCATTAATTGGGTTCTACTAATAAACGTGCGGATATGCGTGGGACTGTCCGGACACGTGCAGGGCAAACGAGGGGGATATACCTTGGCAGCAATCCTTGTACTGTATAATATTTGTTTATGCTCAAAATTTGAGCAGCTATCCACACTTTTTTTTTTAAAGTGTTCCTCTGGTTACATTTATTTTTTCATTTAGACTTTATATATAAATATAAAAGACAGCCTTCCACAGTCCCTTCTTTTTACGGCAAGTTTCAGTAATATCCTACACTAATCAACTGCTCGTTAAGACAAGGATACAAGTAAAACCAAAATACATTTTGTTTGAAACTGAACCATAGCAGATTTTCTTATAATTCTCTGGTTGCTACAGTTACCATGTGTGAAAAAAGGGATTGAATAAAAATTCACTTCTGGTCACTTGAAATATGCAGTTTCAGGCAGATATTTTACTAAAACAGCTTTTATGTCAAACAAGTTGATTGATGTGTTTAAATGTTTTTCATTCACAGAAACAACAAGTGAAATTATAGAATAAAATCTTTCTATCTATACATACTTTTGTAATATTTATCTGGGAGCCAAACAACTATAAACTTTAAAATTGCGACCCCTCCGCTCTTTCTTGCAAACATTCAGTACGGTAAATGTAATTTTCTAAAATGACCAACATCCTGGCATTTTAATAACATCAATGATTTTCAATGTTATATATTTTTATATTATTTCATGAAGAAATTCTCATTGTTGTTGAATTTGTTTTCAAGAAAGTACCAGGATGTGTGATCTTTTGGGGTCATGCACAATGCTTGGTGCTCACATTTTGACAGAAGCCATGTCCACATGGTTGGCCATCAGGCAGTTTAAATGGATGCTTAAAATCTTCGTCATCTGTATATATATTGCAATCCAACACTGAATCAGACCCAGGTTCGTGACAACATCGATAACAAGATTCCGATTCTAGCAAATAAAATGAAATATGATTTATTATAATGTCAGGGAAAATAATAGAATAGATAGATGTCTTGAATTGGCCAATGTGGGTGCGAGAACTGAAAAGTGCTAGAACTGAAGATCAAAGTACCAAACATAATCTTTATACTCAGAGTGTCAGTATTGGTAATTAGTAATTTGAGACTATCATCATACTAAATAGACTGGATTACCTAAAACATAATACATTGTGAATCTGTCATCTGAATTTTGTAATTGAAGATGATCAGATAGATATTGTATGACTCATTGCAACCACAATAAACTAAGTTATACTGTAAAATGACTAATTTTCACTGGGTTTAAATTTCACTGATTTACCATTTCAGGCATATTCAGTGGGTTTTAAATTCACGGTTTCGTCATTTAGATAATATGTTTTATGCTAAATTTTACATATTCACTGGGTTTTAATTTAGCGCATTTTCCAGTCAGCGAAATAAGCCAAATTAAAACCCAGTGAATAATTAACCATTTTACAGTATATGGTGATGATACAAACATTTTTCCTTCATATATCATTCCCTTTATTAACAATACAGCAAACTAATAACATACATTTTGGTGAATTCATGCATGAAAATTGATCGATATCCAAGATATCAGAAAATTACATTATTACAATGAAGCATGTATCACTTGCCTTGCGGGCACATGCAAGGCAACATGTGCTTGGTCTCACAGAATGTATAACATCTACCTCCATAACATTTCCCACTATAAAAAAATAGAAACAATTACAATAAGTCACAAGACTGTCATGGCTGACAGAATTATGAAAGTCACAAAACCATTATGGCTGACAGAACTATAAAGTTCAATCCATGGTGATCAATTTCATATCGTGGCTGACAGATATAAGAGAATTTTCAAGGCTTTTCCCTAATCCTTTTCACCACCAGTTCCCTCTTTTCGACCCAATTTCACAAAATAGTCCTGTTTATAGTCAGCACTTTCCTTCATAATATTAGGACAAAAAATGGCCACATTTTTTGAATAAAAACTGAAAATTGATTCTATTTTGTCTGTTAGATCCAAAATGAGTGTTTATTTCCAGAAATATTGGAGAATAGAAAAAAAATTGGGCAAGAAAGTCTGGTGGTGAAAAGGTTAATATACTTGTTGGTATTTCCAATCAAACAAATCAAACAATCATTGCTGCCAGTGCTATAAAATTACTTACTCATCCACACAATCGGAATGATTTGCCTTCGGCTGTGATTCAGGGCAGACATCACTATTTCCTGTACACTGTGCAGTAGCTATACAACCTATATCATCACTCACTCTGCAATCCATTCCAGCTGTGGCAAAGGAACACTCAACACAACACTCCGAGTTGGCATCACTAAAAAAGCATAGAGTAGCTGTTATAACCTTGCTATTAAATGGTATACAATGAAGGAATCAATCCAACAGAATTCTTATTCTCAGGGACGGAGCTATATCACAGAACGTTCTATGTTGCTAGGACGAGCAGCTGGGGAACGCCGACAGAAGTCAAGAACTCAACTACCGTTTGAGACAATCCTGAAAGACTAAATTTATACATGTTGCACATGTAGGGGTAATCTATTTACACTGTTCAGGAAAGTCAACAACTAGCACAAAGTACAGTTTTCTGAATGTTTTAGGTCTTTGCCAGGTGGTGAAAATGTCCGCACACAATAATATGAATCAAATAGTATTTTTATAGGAATCCAAATAGTATCTAAGAATTCCTCATGGTATTCTTATAGGATTCTTGTTGGTATTCTTATAGGATTTTGGTATTCTTATAGGATTCTTGTTGGTATTCTTATAGGATTTTGGTATTCTTATAGGATTCCTTTTGGTATTCTTATAGGATTCTTGTTGGTATTCTTATAGGATTTTGGTATTCTTATAGGATTCCCTTTGGTATTCTTATAGGATTTTGGTATTCTTATAGGATTCTTTTTGGTATTCTTATAGGATTTTGGTATTCTTATAGAATTCCCTTTGGTATTCTTATAGGATTTTGGTATTCTTATAGGATTTTGGTATTCTTATAGGATTCTTGTTGGTATTCTTATAGGATTTTGGTATTCTTATAGGATTCCTTTTGGTATTCTTATAGGATTCTTGTTGGTATTCTTATAGGATTTTGGTATTCTTATAGGATTCCCTTTGGTATTCTTATAGGATTTTGGTATTCTTATAGGATTCCCTTTGGTATTCTTATAGAATTCCCTTTGGTATTCTTATAGGATTCTTGTTGGTATTCTTATAGGATTTTGGTATTCTTATAGGATTCCTTTTGGTATTCTTATAGGATTCTTGTTGGTATTCTTATAGGATTTTGGTATTCTTATAGGATTCCCTTTGGTATTCTTATAGGATTTTGGTATTCTTATAGGATTCTTTTTGGTATTCTTATAGGATTTTGGTATTCTTATAGGATTCCCTTTGGTATTCTTATAGAATTCCCTTTGGTATTCTTATAGGATTCTTTTTGGTATTCTTATAGGATTCCCTTTGGTATTCTTATAGAATTCCCTTTGGTATTCTTATAGGATTCTTTTTGGTATTCTTATAGGATTTTGGTATTCTTATAGGATTCCCTTTGGTATTCTTATAGGATTTTGGTATTCTTATAGGATTCTTTTTGGTATTCTTATAGGATTTTGGTATTCTTATAGGATTCCCTTTGGTATTCTTATAGGATTCCTTTTAGTATTCTTATAGGATTCCTTTTAGTATTCTTATAGGATTCCTTTAGTATTCTTATAGGATTCCTTTTAGTATTCTTACAGGATTCCTTTTAGTATTCTTATAGGATTCCTTTAGTATTCTTATAGGATTCCTTTTAGTATTCTTACAGGATTCCTTTTAGTATTCTTACAGGATTCCTTTTAGTATTCTTACAGGATTCCTTTTAGTATTCTTATAGGATTCCTTTTAGTATTCTTATAGGATTCCTTTAGTATTCTTATAGGATTCCTTTTAGTATTCTTACAGGATTCCTTTTAGTATTCTTATAGGATTCCTTTAGTATTCTTATAGGATTCCTTTTAGTATTCTTATAGGATTCCTTTTAGTATTCTTATAGGATTCCTTTAGTATTCTTATAGGATTCCTTTTAGTATTCTTACAGGATTCCTTTTAGTATTCTTATACAACATTTAAAGCTTGTTCTAGAGGAATCCTATAAGCATGGCTTACACATTCCTTTGCAAATCTGTTATGTTATTGATTCAATCTGCTACGATGCATTGTTTATCCAACAATAACAAATGTACATCTGAACTCCAAGATGACTGACCTTTGAACCCCCTAACCTGACCATAATATTCTGATAGAGGGCGTACTATAAAAATAGCAATATGGTAGCCTGTCTGTCTATAGCAATAAATAACAAATTTATCCTACAATAATCCTATTAGAAATTAAAAATGCAGTTTAAAATATGTAGTAACTCTCTAAGCCATCGGTTAGTTTGTAACCAATGACAGACACAAACTAAAGCTTGTAGAATGCCCATAATTTCTGAATAATTTGACAATTGTTCCAATCCTCGGGGGTGGAGCTACGTCACAAGACGTTCCACGTTGCTAAGATGCGCACCACTGTACCATGCATTTCTATGGGCTCTGTGCGCGCTGCTGTGGAACACTGGTCGAGCCGGTGAAAATTCGAGAAAACAATACAAACTCAACTTTGAAGTAATCCCGAACAATCAAATTTATATATGTTACACACGTAGGGCTAATCTTGTTGCACTATTCAGAGGAGTCTCAACAATCACCCCAAAGTATCGTTTTCTGCGAGTTTTGGGCCTTTGTTTTCACCGTCGCGGGTTGCCAGGCGGTGAAAATGCCCGGATGTCCGCCCCCGAGGATTGGATTTCTTAGTATTCCTTTAGGAAATGGGCCATAATGAATATTTTTAGAATACTGAGAATTTTCATGAGAAGACTTATAAATACTGTAAAATACTTTATTTCAGCTGGAATTAATTTTCACTGAAAAGACTTTTTGGGTGTTTTATACAGAATTTATTTTTACTGATTTTTGATAAGTTGAATGTAAAATATAGGAAAAAGGGTATATTTGCTGGATTTTATTTTCACTGAATCATTCCTTCAGCGAAAATAGCGAAAATTAATTCCAAGCAAAAATTAAGTATTTAACAGTAACTGATAGGGCTCGTCCCTAAAACAACAATTAATTTCAAAATACTGACCTACACTGAACATTTTTCAGATAGCAATCACTAGAACAACAATTATGTTGATCCGTTTCCAGGCCAACAAGTCCAGCATCACATTCCTCGCCAGCTTCCACTTGAAAATTACCACAAAATGCGCCAGAAGGATCTGAAATGACAATAAAACAAGATGAAACATACCAACTATTACTGTCAGTGCCATCTCAACACAAAAACAGCAACATTTCTAGCTAAGTTTCTGACTTGATTGCTATGCCCGTCTCAAGATTGTTACTTTATTAAAACTGGTTAGATCAAACCATTGAGGAGAGTGCTCCATTCAACTAAATGCACACATGTAATACACCACGCCTGCAAAACTGCATCAGTAAATATATTTTGTTTAATTTTGTTGGGATAAGCTTTCCACTTCGTATGGCGATTCATTGTATAATTACAAACTATACCTTGAAAATAGGAATCCCCAGTTTGACAGACATACAAAACGTATAGCATTAATTGTCAAACCTATCTGTATTAATAATCTTATTATTATACATCTTTCCCTCCCAAGGATGCATCATGGGAATGCCGAAATAAAAAAAAGTTTAGAACAGATTGAGTGAACTACTTTGTATGGGGTTCGGTCAAACCATGGGCAGCCATGTTTGTTTTTATTATTAGAGAACGCTTATGCACATAATCGTTCCATATTTGGAATTCGCATTACCTTATTTGGTAGGATGAAAATACCCAGTGCAATACCACAAAATTACAGCACGCTGTAACTTATAGCGTTACGATGACAGATGTATAATAATGAATTTTATATAACATGTCAATCTGTGTATGAACTACCGGTAGTCTATATAATAATCTCTTGTAATGCTTATATATACATTGTGAGTCGCTCCTAAATATATTAAATGTTCTGTAATGTGCTTGGTCATATGGTAACTATTCAGAACCTACATATAAAAGATGTTTTTGAAACTACTTAACAACGTATTATACACAGCAATCAGATTGACTATAGTAAAACAATCATATTTATAAAATAAGAATAAATGCTATTTTGGTATACCGGTATATGCAATATGGAGATATGCTTGTAACAAATATGACAAACTATACTCTCTTTTATACTGCCTGATGAGTGAACAGTCAGCAGTAAGAATTGAATCTATAACCATCCCTATGCAATGCTAATCACTTTACCAAGCCCAAGTGATTAAAAACAACTTACTTACAGGTAAAACACTTGTTTATTTTTGATTCCAACACTGGACCCACAAATCTCTGACTGCATGGCGAAAACAACTGTAAAAGATGAAAGACAACATCATGTAAGTCAAAGATATCAACTGCCAAGAATAATGCTGAAACATTTCTCCATTTATTTCAATGCTAGTTTGAATTCAACAGGCTAATTCACCTCTATCCAGGTTTTAGAGAAAAATATGAAAAAATAAAGTAATAATAAAAATAATCACATTTTCTCTACTCTCTGTTGTACCTGTGTTGCATGTTCTATACGCACACACAAGTACTTCCCTTCACTAATTTGACTATGTATTGTACTTACCTTGTTGTTATCAAAGAGACCACTGACTGCAGCATGGTACATGATGTATTTACCATCATATGATTGTTTTCACTTACCTTGTTGTTGTCAAAGAGGCCACTGACTGCAGCAGGATACATGATGCATTTACCACCATATGATTGTTTTTACTTACCTTGTTGTTGTCAAAAAGGCCACTGACTGCAGCAGGATACATGATGTATTTACCACCATATGATTTTTTTTACTTACCTTGTTGTTATCAAAAAGGCCACTGACTGCAGCAGGATACATGATGTATTTACCACCATATGATTGTTTTTACTTACCTTGTTGTTGTCAAAAAGGCCACTGACTGCAGCAGGATACATGATGTATTTACCACCATATGATTGTTTTCACTTACCTTGTTGTTATCAAAGAAGCCACTGACTGCAGCATGGTACATGATGTATTTACCATCATATGATTGTTTTCACTTACCTTGTTGTTGTCAAAGAGGCCACTGACTGCAGCATGGTACATGATGTATTTACCACCATATGATTGTTTTTACTTACCTTGTTGTTGTCAAAAAGGCCACTGACTGCAGCAGGATACATGATGTATTTACCACCATATGATTGTTTTTACTTACCTTGTTGTTATCAAAGAAGCCACTGACTGCAGCATGGTACATGATGTATTTACCATCATATGATTGTTTTTACTTACCTTGTTGTTGTCAAAAAGGCCACTGACTGCAGCAGGATACATGATGTATTTACCACCATCGACATCATCAGGAGAACATTCCTTGGTATCTGGATCATGCTCACTGCCAAAATTATGACCAAGTTCTATAAAAATGATATATAGTGTTATATTGGTGTTTCTGACCAGTGTGTGACATATTTGGTGATGTAAATACATTAGTAAAAGACATAAATTAACCTCTTCACCACCAGAATTCCTCGCCATAATTATTCTGTTTATATTCTCCAATATTTCTGGAAATGAGCCCTAATTTTGGAGCCAACATACAAAATTTGTGTCACTTATCAGTTTTTACTCAAAAAATTTGGCTATTTTTGTCCCAATCTGAAGGAAATTTTAAGTGCAGACAATAAAAAGGACTATTTTGCGAATTTGTGATGAAAAAAGGGAACTGGTGGTGAAAAGGTTAAACATGTATATCCAATAAGTAAGATTAAACACTGTAAAGAGGTTAATTATTCACTGGGTTTTAATTTTGCTTATTTCGCTGACTGGAAAATGTGCTAAATTAAAACCCAGTGAATATGTAAAATTTAACATAGAACACATGATCTATATTATAAAACTGTGAATTTAAAACCCACTGAATATGCCTGAAATGGTAAATCAGCGAATTTAAACCCAGTGAAAATTAGTCATTTTACAGTAAAAAGAAGCGAACAAGCACAATAAACTGTGCTAACTACACTGAGTAGAAGAACCATGAAATGATGTATCAAACCATAACTCAATGAATGAGTGTATGAAAATCTAGAATGTGGTGACTATAAAATTCAAATGATAGTCAATATGCAAGTTTTCTTTGCAAAGGTTCTCCATACCATGCATTTTGTATCCTTGTGAACACTTTCATGCAGTTTACTCACCGTGTGCAGTGACAAGATCAGCCTCTCGTGTCAGGATTCGTCGCCCCCAGTTGAGTGTTGTTGTCAGACCAGTATTTAAAAATAGTTTACCAGAGCTTGAATAATAAGCTGAAAAAGGTGATACAATGACTGACATTGATGTATACTGGTATTTGCCAGACACTATATAAATCCAGTGGTCAGTCAATACCGGTACTCATTTTTTAACACGTTATATGATAGAATACAACATCACTGAATACATTATCACCGTAAAGTTTGACATTCCATAGCTGGTTTGAATTTGTTTACTTTTACAGTGATCAATGCTGCATTCTCGTTGAGTTAATTATAAGGATGATTCATATTTTTCTTGCGGTGTTTTTTTCTTTTTCAATGTATTCAATTTAAATGTGTTGGGAAATAGCATAATCATATTGCGCAAGTGAAAGAGGCTGGTGAGACTGTCACAACGCGTTTCATTAATGTTATTGCATTGCGCGTTGCATTGCGTTTGTTTTGTCATGTCTTACAACTGAAAATCCAAGCTGACTTTTGATTAGAAAACAGCTTAAATGTCAACAGAAAATGCAAAAGAAATGAATGGTTAACATGAATTTCATAATGAATTAAAATATCTAGTTTGAAAGTAACTCTTATCGTTATTTTATTGGCAGTATAAATGTAGTTAATTAATTTTTTTTAATTAAGTTTTTTGTCATTACTGCTTATTATAAGTATAAATTTCACTTCATCAGATGCAGAATTATAAGTATGTAAATGGTGAACAAGAAATACACAAGTTTTCATTATATAACAAATTTTTGTTATAATGCGTTTGTAACACATGTATGTACATGTAGTTCATCACATTTAAATTACCGAATGAAACAGACTTGTTTTGCCTTTCAAATTAAGCTCCTTTCTCCAGCCATTGCATCTACTTTTCAAAATACAA